TGTCTTTTGGCACCATGGCAAATCCATTTTCACAAACGAGACCTTTTTTCACTCACACTTCATCAATGGGAAGTTTTCCGGTATGACCACCAAGATAGGCTTGGGTAGATAATTCATATATGATTCCTATAGTGTACCGATATATAGATTGCTACAGTACAGTTGTACCGACATTCCAACATATAGATTCTTATAATGGTCTTTCTTCCAGTGTACCAAGGTACTTGGCTTACAAGTAGGCCAAGACACTCAAGCAATCCAAGACACATAAGTAGGCCAAGACACTGAAGCAGGCCAAGTGCCTAAGTAAGCCAAGTACCTCGGTACACTAGAAGAAAGACTGCACTGTAAAAATCTATATATCAGTACATCATAGGAATCAAATATGAAGTACCTACCCAGGCTTGATTACCAACCGCTGTTTGAAAAATGAGCCCGCGCTCTTTCCGTGATCAGGTAGGACCGAGATAGCTGCGGAAATCGAGTCTACTACCAAAATCATTCTATTAATTGTGAAGAGCTTTTGATATATGTATTTCGTGAATAGCTGCCTACCCTTAAGTCTTCGCTAAAACCCTGTACTTCATTGCCTTGATGTTTCAAAAACGAGGTTGTCAAGGTTTTAAACTGACTTTACGGAATGTGGAAATTTGACCAAACATAGTTTCCAGTGGAACTCAAATTATTAATATTTTTGTAAAAATTCAAAGCTAAAGTTCGCAAAATTTTAGAGTATTTAAGATCATCCGATTTCCAAACCTTCTAGGTAGTGATTTCCTTCATATTCTCCGCGTGATGATTCATGAATTATTTAGGCGTATTTAACAGAGACAACGGAAAATCAAATGAGCAAGCAAAAACATCACAAAGTGCTGAACACAAGTTCCAGTGTTCAATTTCCCATTCTGCCATTAACCTCGTTCCCAGGGCTCTCTCCTACCTGTCCCTAGGGAGCGAGAGAGAGAGAGAGAGACCCTGGTTATGTCTGGTCACATGTCTCCAGAACAAAATTAATTCTGAGGGAGGAGTCCTTTTTCTTTTAATTTTTCGTCTGATCTAGAGAACCTGGGAACAAGATTATTCTTCCATTAATTCAGGGATATTTCGATTAAATCACGCCCTACAAGGCTGATCACGCGCTGGAGGATTGGTGTCTGATGACGTCACCTGAAGAAGAACGCCAGTTATATTGGTAGAAAAATGACCCCCAGGGGGTAGTCAACAATGTTTTCTACAGGGAGGCTCCGCCTTGTGTTCCAACCTCTTACCTTTTATATACCATTTTTGATAGAAAAGGCACCCCTTTCTTACACCTTCTAATGACATGTGTTACCTCTTTTGGATACCAAGTTTAGAACTTTGCAACCCTTCTACGTTATATAAATTCACTTTGATTAAATCACACTACCAGATTTTTTAAATGCATCTGTTAGCCATTTTGGGCCTTTTTACATACCAGAATGAGGAATTTCCCTTTTGTATACTTCATCAAGTGAAAATCCTACCTTTCATGAGGGAGATACCCCTTTCGGGCGGAGCCTCCCCTCACAGGCAATGATAGGGAGTATCCCCCTGAGCATTGACCTCGAGTCTGTGAACTTCTTTATTTGTAAACACGCGGAGACAAGTATCTGAAATAACACTTGCTGCAGCCAGAAGCTCTAAGAAACGTCTGTTTTCGATCGGGGGAGTGTCACAGTCTTTTGTTTCGTTAGCAAAGTAAACAACTAGCTGTGAGGACGTCGTGGTAACCCTAAATGTGACTATCCCTGAGGGGCGTGGCTTTTGTGGGAATCTTGAAGCTAATTTAAATAGAGGGGAGAAGTATGCCGTGATGTAACCATGGTAACAAAATGTCTGGATCTCAACAGTCTTCCTTGGCGGAAACAGCAACTTACATTGTCGAACGATGGAAGAGAGATATGGGCAATCATGCACAGGAAAGTTGCACGAGTCATATTTTTAATTTCCTGCCACATTTGCATGAACACGGTTCGTTGAGTTCCGAGACGTAACGACTTCTCCTCTCAGTAACTGGGAGATAAAAAATCCAAGCCGTACCAATGCAAAACCAAGGCTTTACGATCCACTTGCTATCACAATGATATCAGAATGTCATAAAAGATATTTAAATTTCTCGTATTTTTTAACTTATTGATTCTAATTATATTTCTGAACACACTTGACTGATTCTAGGAGGACCAAGAAGGATGTATAGAGCAAGTCAGATCATAATGTAGTTACTTCGTATGTTTAAAAATAAATGACTAAAAATAACACTTGAAAAATTCTGTTAATTTATCCCTTATCCAGTGAGTCTGACGAGACTGGATACGAAATTGAAGGGAAGTCAAAACCCAGAGTGAACAACTTCTAGGTAATCGTGTCACGTCAAACTCACCGTCCAGTCTATTTTTGGAACAATTTTGGCTTGAATTTACAATATCTTTTAAGTTGCGCAAACCAGTCAGCAAAACCAACAGCCCTGAAAATGGTATTTTTGACGTTTTAAGGATGGGAAATTTCTTTTTCATATCAACCATCGAATCTCCTCACAGACGTAGCAGAGCTTCAAATTGTGCAGGAAAAAGTTCTGTAAAGTGATGCGTAAAAATAAACCAGTCTATGAAACACTGTAACATAAATGTGAGTTGCTCATTCCGGGTTATAAGCTCCTGGGGTAGGGCAATCCAAACCCCAGTTTCCGGGGTTCCTCTCTGGAGATGAGAGGGCCCTGGGAAAGGGGTTGAGTTATCTTCTCTTCTGGTCTGAGGTCAATAGGCCCTTTGCAGCTAGCAAACAACATGGCACAAAGCCGCAATGCTGGAGAGCAAAAGTCCTACTGGGAAAAGACGAACAAACTTATGTATGCCTTTCGTTGTTCTTGTCCCAGTGCAACTTTTGCTCTCTAGCATGGCGGTTTTGTAGCATGTGAATGGCTAGCTGCAACAAGTGTGGCCATTGTTTTAGGACCCAGAAACATTAGCTACGCTTGTTAAAGTTTTATCAACATGAACCCTGTAGAATCCAGTTGATTTAACCTATAGTGAATTCTGCACAAAGTGAACACCCATGGGAAAAATAGGAAGGGTGCAGACTTGTCTTGTCATACAGGGTCTTAGTTTATAGACACCTGCCAAATATTGGTGAATCAATCATTGATGAGGGAACTGTGGGAACTACTGTTGTAGCCTCCTATGAAGATGTTTTCAGGGTTTCTTCATAAGGGTAAGAAGGTGTATTAAAACCCTGAGAAAGACTGTGTGTGACTAGAGGGAAACTTGCCAAACATTTAAGAAGAAAAGGTGCAACAAACACCGATGATATCCGGGTGGGAGATTAGAAAAAGGAAAGGATAAAATATGGGAATAAAAAAGTACCTTTAAATATCTTTTAATGGCATTTGCATNGGTTGAGTTATCTTCTCTTCTGGTCTGAGGTCAATAGGCCCTTTGCAGCTAGCAAACAACATGGCACAAAGCCGCAATGCTGGAGAGCAAAAGTCCTACTGGGAAAAGACGAACAAACTTATGTATGCCTTTCGTTGTTCTTGTCCCAGTGCAACTTTTGCTCTCTAGCATGGCGGTTTTGTAGCATGTGAATGGCTAGCTGCAACAAGTGTGGCCATTGTTTTAGGACCCAGAAACATTAGCTACGCTTGTTAAAGTTTTATCAACATGAACCCTGTAGAATCCAGTTGATTTAACCTACAGTGAATTCTGCACAAAGTGAACACCCATGGGAAAAATAGGAAGGGTGCAGACTTGTTTTGTCATACAGGGTCTTAGTTTATAGACACCTGCCAAAATAATATTGGTGAATCAATCATTGATGAGGGAACTGTGGGAACTACTGTTGTAGCCTCCTATGAAGATGTTTTCAGGGTTTCTTCATAAGGGTAAGAAGGTGTATTAAAACCCTGAGAAAGACTGTGTGTGACTAGAGGGAAACTTGCCAAACATTTAAGAAGAAAAGGTGCAACAAACACCGATGATATCCGGGTGGGAGATTAGAAAAAGGAAAGGATAAAATATGGGAATAAAAAAGTACCTTTAAATATCTTTTAATGGCATTTGCATCTGACAGAAGAGTAAAAAAGTAAAATTTATGGGCTGTTAATTCTATTCTGTTACGTCTACTTCAAATCTATACGTATGCAAAAGAACCTATCAACATAACTGATTAATCACCTTCAACCATGATTTAAGCTTATGCGTCAAAATAACTTATAGCAACGTAACCATGAAAAGCAAGAAATACTTATCAAGTAAAAGCTACTAAGCAGTACCTTCCTGTGGTGTCATTTGTCAGTACTGTTAAGCCCCAATCTTCAGTATTATTGTAACACCTGCATTTTCATATCTGTTTGAACACTATATGACTTTTAACAACCATCACCGATTAAACTAGAAATTATATATCAAAGGCCAAAGATACAAACATAACTAATTTATTTTGTCCTGAACTAAATAACATAACTCTCTGTACAACTTAATGTTCTACTGAACAACAGAAACACCGTCTCGAGTTTGACCCACTGAGCCTTTATATCAACGTACATTTTCTTAAAACTGTTTTTCATACAATGCTTACAGTCATGATACCAAGAATTTCTATCTCAATATCTGATTATTTCCCTTATTCTCACGACCTCATATTCCATACATCAGTCATAATGAAAAACTTTTAATAAGGAGGAAGTTTAGTGCTCTCCACTATATAGGGCTCAAACGGTCTTGAATTATTAGTTTGAATATTTTTAAAAGGGTAACACTCTCACAATTTATTAAGTACAAAGAATGTATGTAAGTTTAATGTAGGGCATGCCAATGCGTATGAAAAAAAAAAAAAAAAACTGAAAAACTGGCATCTATCCACACTGGTTATGCTTGTATTAATGCAAAACAGTCCATGTCCAATTGAATGTCAATAACTTCAGTCTACAGTTAACCACCTCGTAAGTGGCTAAACAACTTGCCAATGTTTGGTTTTCGGCCATTTGCATATTTTTCAGTCAAATTAATGTAAGGTATTGTTTTCATGTTTTCTTTAGCAGATTTTTGTATGTTACACAGGTGGTCACACGATGAGGTTGACTTAAGTTTGGACTCAAACACCACAACCAAAAATATTATACCATAGTCCCTGTAAGGGATATTGCAAATAACACCTACTGAATCTTTACATGACCAGCACGCTACTCCTAAGTTTTGTGCAACACTGGGGTATCAGGATTGCAGTTAATAAATACTGGCAACAGTGCTCTTAATGAATGTCCTTGTCAAGTGTAGCTAGACACTGCATAACAAGCTGTAACTTCAAGCGCTGGGACCTCCCGTTGCCAACTCAACTCCATGCTGCTGCAGTTGAGCTCTCAGTAATGCATTTTCTTGTCGGAGGTCGTCTACTTGCTGGCGTAAAAGCTCTGTGTCTATTTGCAATCTTTCATTGTCCTTGATTGATTCTACCATTCGAGCATTGTGAAGTTTTAACTCATTTATGTAATCCACTGTCTTCGATAAAATACCACCTTTGCTCTGTAAAAAATAATAATATATCACTGATTAGAAAGTCTGCCTTGGAAAACTGCTGCCAACTTTTTCCAACTTGTGAACCTCAATGGGTTCTTGGGAAAGAAACTTTTAACATTCTCTCCTTTCTCCTTTCTCCTTTCTTAAAAGGGTTATTCAGCAGTGCCATTTAAACAACTGGAGCAAGATTTATAAATGGTTGGAGGCAACACAGCCTAACCTCATCATGGACTAGAATCCCAAGCATGGGGCAGGGATAGGAATTGTGTTACTCCAATGAACTTGTGGCCGTGTTGGTTCTTTTTACATATCCAACAGAAACAGTCTTTTCTATTCACATGAAATGCCGCCAAGTTCATCAAAAATACTTCACTGCATGTCATCTTCGTAACTCTCTTCTCAGTGTTTTATCCGGTGATGAAACGCTGCATCTCATGCTTGGTATATCACTTCAGTAACCAAAATGGCCATTGCTTGAGGGAGTGAATAAAATGGGAGCACTGTGAATTTCGTTCCAAGAAAGGGCATTTAGGGACATTGTGTTCCTAACCTATGTCTATCAACCATTTGCCAAGACGACACAAATTTAATTGAAAAACAGAATCAAAAAGTGCTTACTATATTTTGTGATCCACCGACCTGCCCTGCTTTTGACTGTTCTTGGCAACATTCTGGCACCACTTTGGCAAGTTTGTTAATCCATGTGTTTATCTTGTCCCTGCGACGGCGCTCCACTAAAGAAACATTGAAGTCGGAGTGAAAAACAAAAGCAACGCATCGAGGAAATACTCTCAAACTCCATTTGTAGTGGACTTGACTGGTTTTTGGGTAAAACACAGCCCACTAACACTTTGATTTAATCTCTTACCTAAAATAATATACTTAACAGATGCATGATTAATTTCAAGTCAATGTTTCTACTAAAACAATGGCATTGTGTTAAAATGAGGTAAAAATACAAATTCATGCATGTCTTTCTTTATTATTCTCAATGGGTCAGTAACCTAACTTCCAAAAATAAAGTTAACGTAGAAAGTGCAGGGATATTAGTGGAACAAAAAGACCTACCAACAACATCCTTGAGAATATATATAATTATGTTGTGTGACAATGTCTTACTGTCATTTGACACTACGGGTTGAATAATTTTCTTCGTGATCAATGTAAGTGACTGCTGACAAGTTTGTTTTTTCAAGTAGATCGGCCAGTTTTGCGCTTAAAGGTAGAAATTTTAAATTCTATATTAGAGGTAGAGCGGAAACTTCAAAATAATCCTCTGAGCATTACCTTCGTTGTGGGTCGCCCTCCTTTTCTCATCTCGGGCTGTCCGAGGCGCGTCAATTTTCCTGTTAAGGGCAGCAGAATTACTTAAAATATACATAACTTCCATTACGTTTATCCTTTCCTGACAACACAAGATCGCTGAATACACATCCAAGCTTCATTCCAGCGATTTTGTTGTTGTGTTTTACATGACCATCACATGATTGAAGAAGAAATCATGTGACATGAGAACCGTCATGTGTTTCGAACACATGACTTTGAGCCGGTTAATTCAAAACAACTTCAAAACACATCGTGATTTTCTCTAACCACAAAAGTTCTTTAATGCTATTTTTGGTCTAGATGAAGCACGAATGCGACTACATTCAAGGAAAGGATTATTTCGTACGGCAAGGAATTCAATATGAGTGTCGCGAACGAATCAAGTTACATACATCGACTGACTACCTAGGGTGGTTTTTGTTCGAAGCTTGATTTTAAAAAATCCTTACAAATCGCTTACATAGCGATCGGCTATTTTCAAACGCTAGTTGTCTTAGAAAACTGCTCTGACCTTTACAAGAACAGCACGCTATCCACGGAAATTAACATGATTTGATGTAGACATGACAAATTTTAACAGTCGTGTATCATCGCAGGAAAATAAGGGACATTTTCTCATTAATAAAAGATTATCGAAAAAAGACTGGTACAAAACCAAACAGCTTAGTATTCTTAAGTTAAAAGAAAAGAGTTACAGAGAAAAATAACTCTTGAACGAGTTTTCGTGATGAAAACTTACGTTGCTATTTTATGAGTGATCGCTGGAGCAATGCTTCTCTGACTTCCGCCAGGCATCACGTCTTGAGGAGACATCATCACGTAAAATCCACCTTTAAAAAATGCAAAACAGGACTTATTTTGCATTCAACGACAGTGAAATAAAAGTTAGAACGAAGCTGCTTGATTATGAACGACAAAAACCAACCTGCAGCTGTTCCTACGGTGGTGATGGTCTGAGCTTCGGCCATTGTGATGGGCATTTGCGACGGAGAGGAGGGCTGTTGAAGAGAAACAGGAATATTTCTCACTGTATAAGCGCTTGTTCCGTCTAAACCTTCAGTACCACTGGCTTGAACCACTGTAGCAGTGGCCGCCCCATCTGCCGGCTGAAAGTACGTAAATCTCGGCCCGTCCGCAGTCGTATCCGTTTCGACTGTGTGAGTAGGGGAGGAACCATTGCTGAAAGGGCTTTGAATAACAGTTTGAACTTGCGGTGCAAACGCCGCGTTAGTGGCGTCTACTCGTTCGCCACTCGCCTCGGGAGCTTGAACTTGGACGACTCGAATTTGCTGTGTACCACCATTGAATCCCGTCGCCTGTACGCCATTTCCGTCTGGCCTGTACTGGAACTGAAGGGTACCAGGATCTGCAAACGCTGCGTTCGCTTGTTGTCCGACGAGAGCAGCTGCTGTTTGTTCGTCAGAAACAGTCGAAACCGTCACTGTCACAGTTTCGGGCTCCGGTACCTGTGTAGGATCGGAAGCTTTGGGATCTTGTAGTGGTGAATTTTTCTCCGGGTCCAGCGACCCGTCGAGCATGTCCAGAGTTGGAGAACTGGAGTGCGGAGTGGTGGTCATGGGGTCAAACAAACTGGTCATGTGAACAAGAAGAGAGAAACGACGAAACTGACCACGAGGACAGCGAACATCACATGATAAGTACGTCACTTCGCTTCCCTTCCAGCGCCCTTCCTTCAGCGGTAACCTTTGACAGGTAGTTTGGGCGTTCCAGTCCAGTTAGTGCACACGGTTGTACACTGTTGTGTGCACTAAGTGGTATCAACTAAGTTTCAACAAAAGATTTGTTGTATGGGCGTTCGTTCCCAGGATGAAGAAATTTTTTAAGCCTAAATTACAAAATATTCGTCGTATGTGAAAACGGTGACAAGGTAGACATTGCGCCCTGCTTATTAACTGAATTGCATATTAAAAAGCTCCCCAGGAACTTTCTTTTCCAAGGGCACACCCAACATTTTTCAAACCCATTTTTTGCAGACAATAAAAAGCGACCTCTATCTTTTTTCCAATCCGAACATGAGGGATTTGAGTTTTTACAATAACACCTTAACACACTTCTTATATAATTACCCGTTGGCAGAATTTTATACCCTACACCGGCTAGTAAATAAGAATAACTTTTCAGCTGGGGTTTATAGACGCATTATGTTTTGTCTCTCTTCAGACAAAACAAACCAAAAAATTGCTCGGGACAAAATACCTCATGAATATTTGAAAAATGTGCGCTGTTACAGTCCAACCAATTTTTTCCCTCTATTGATCTCTCAAGGATTGACGCCGATGGGTGTCGATGACGGGTAACAATAAAAAGTGACAAAAAGTTCAGTCTTTCCAAAATAAAACAAAACCGCAGGAGAACATTTTGTAGCATTTTGATTTCAAATCACTCTTTAGAAAACAATGCCATACACCTTAAGATAAAGTAAGTACAAGGACCTGGTAATTCTACTTACCAGTTATCTCTTTGGATATGTCTGGCTGGTATGTGCTCTGAATAGCAACGAAGATTGTTTATTTGTTTTGATCCGAAGCAGTTTCACTTAATAGTTACAAGACATGACAAAACTCTCAGGTGACCCTCATGATAATTAACTCTTTTAATCAATTTTGAAGCCTTTGGAACTCTTTCGAACACATGACGATTCTTTGATTAATACGACGGTCTCATGACTACAGGAAATTCAAACAGGGAAACTATACAATCATGATCAAGGCTTCTATTTATTTTAAAAAGGGGAGGATTTGCTAAATTTTGATCTGTCTTATCCCACTGCGTTTAATTTTTCGCGTTCGTCTTCTAGATGAGCGAATTCAAAGCCGTGCTAAACGGCTGGGAACTTATTTTCAAAAGTGAAAGGCTTGCACGTGATCCTTTCTTCTAAACGGCAAATTGATGGGAGACAATACTGACAATTGAGGCGCAGGCTTGGGTGTCGGTGGTTAAAAAAGTGGATAACACCACCAGCTGGATGGTGAATTGTCCAATGGATAGCGCTATTCAACCAGCTTCTTAATAACCCTGATCTGAAGGAAAACTTTACGCTCCTTGTTAACCACTCCAGCGACAGTTCTCGCGATTGTTGCGCCTGTGGGTAGAAGAGCTCGATCAAGCTAACCTTGATCGAAACAAACCGGATGCAAATACGAATCGAAAAGGACTAGAGGAGGCCTCATGTCTACGCCCTTTTTGGCAAAACCAAAGAATCACCTCTGAGAATTATCTTTCATAGCTTTATAGAAAACCCAGAGAAAACCTATAGATCAGGAAATAAATAAGTTAAGCCTCCTTAGCCTCCTGCGAAGACATACGTCCTGCTTGCTTGCTCTGTTTAAGCACGTGGGCTGAGCTCCCGATGTGACTGACGCCTCCAGATTTCTAGCCAGTCAGAATTAAACCAACTGTAACTTTTCGCTTGCGCGTTTCTATAGCTTTAGTCACGTACTTTTATTTGCATTCTCAACAGTCCACTTCAAGGCTCTAAGATGGTAGGGAAAAAGCGGATCGAAAAAAGTTGCGCGAAAACCACGTGAGGACTGGGGAAAGACGGAGAAGTGGGCCTGTAAGCATTGTTTTCAGTGCCTCTTTCTGGTACCAAGCTGCTTGTATACCCTGTGATTGGACAATTTTGACAGTTAACGTCGATCATTCAGCTTCGCGTGCGCAGAGTTAAACAAGCAAGGCGAGCGGCGTGAAACCCACTTATGCCCATATTTAAAATTTTGAAAAGGAAATGGGCGGCTGTGGTATTTAAACTTTCCGTAAGCGAAAGAAGAGGAGAGGAGAGAAAACGACATTTTGCTTACTGCGCATGCCCGAACTGCGGAAGCTAAGTCAAGTTTTAGTCAAGTTAAGCCTGATTCACACCAAAATTGATCCCTTTTCCGCTCCAACCATTTCACATGCCTGTTATACAAGTATCACTTTAGCTTACGGCAAATGCGGAGTGGAGGGATTCCTGTTCGACCTTTTTTCCATTGTTCTCCAGTCGCTCAAGATTTCACATTCTGGGTGTTCTCTCGTTTGCTGATATACTGAACTCTAGAAATGAATAACCACAACACCGTATTTCAGAGAAAACAATTTTAATATAAAACATTTCAACTAATCAATCACTTCTTTGATTTCTTCACTTTGTTCTCGCGTCTGTAATCGTGTCTAAAGGAGGAAAACAAAAGTTCATGGTTAGGCGTCAATCTTGTTTTCTGGACCTCTAGCGTTCAAGGAAACGCAACAAAAACACATTTGCTGTGAATGTGTTAGTCTTCTTTACAGCAACTCGGGCCAAGGTCACGCGATCGAAGCTGGGAGCACTGCGTGACGCCGGCCCGAGCAGTCGCTCAGGCAACGTCGTTCCGAGGGTTCTCTCCTACCCGCCCTACGGAGCGAGAGAGGGCGGGTAGGAGAGAACCCTGGGAACGATGTTGCTGCTCAAGAGGCTGCGCAGTTTGCAGTAGATGACTGAATGAGCTGAAATGAATGATATGTACCTTGATTGCCAGCGAGGACCTTGATTCCAAACTCGGCCAAAAGAAGGAAGCCTGTGAAAAAGAAAGAAAAAAACCCTCTGAATTGAATAAAATTCCAAATGTCATTTTTATATAGACTGAAAAACAGCCACTTTTGTCCTCTTAAAACTTGAGTTGCCGCTTGTAAAGAAGCGTCAGAAGCGTAGAATTCGCGGGAAGCACATGCGCGGAACGTCCGAAGATCCGTGCACACCGAATACCGAACTTACATTTGTACAAAAGCTTAACACCAAAATATGCAGCAGCTGTTTTTACGGTCATATTTACTTCCAATTCAGGTACAAAAATTTAATGTAATACAAGACAATGTTTAAAAAGCTGTCTCTATTTCCCTAGTCGAAAGACAAAAGACACCAACAAGGGCCGGGAGAGACAAAAAAATCTACTTTTGGCTCCTAGTTCCAGGGCTTAAGTCGACTTTTCACTCTTGATGCCGGTCTAGCCTGTATCGCGCTTTTCAAATTTATTCTTAAAATATTGTTTCCTGGGAGCAAGAAGTCGGAGAAACTACTCGCAAAACGAATCAATCGTATTCCTTTTTCGTAGCCGGCGTGCTTTTTTCAAGGGCGATATAGTCAGACATTTGAGTTGCAACAAGAACTTACCAATCTTCACTTGTTTCTTTTTTCCTGTCAAAATTCGCGCCAACTCGGTGAGGATTTTTGTGGTTGATCTTTTTCATGCGTTCAGCTGAAAGAAAAACGCAACTACAGCAATTCTATAGATCTTTTATACGTTTAACCCTAAATAACGTAAATTCCCTTATATACAAGAAACTGTTCTCCACCAATTCCTCATGGTACTACTGAGAAGCTGCTTATCAATCAATGTTTGGTGTTACGATCATTTTCTTAGCTCTCAAGACCTTAATGTTTGACTGAACAGTCATATTATAGAGAGAAAACTACATGTTAGTCACCATTCGCCACTTTAGAAACGCGAAGAGGACTGGAGCCGAAATGTGTCCCGCAATTGTTTCTGGGATTGTTACTGGTGACCCGCCGGTCAGCTATTGGCCGGTTTGACCCTGTCCCCAATAACAGTCCCAGAAGTCTTTGCGAAGTTAACTCGGCTCAGTCTTTTCTCGCTTTTATGAGACGAACTAAGGATTAAATGACACACTGGCCATAGGACCTGACTTTCCACCAGGGAGCAAAGTGACCATAGATAACGAGTGAATTTACCATGCTTTTTAAAGGCATCAAATGATGGACCAATGACATGGTTATCAGCTGAGGCGCCTTCCTCATCATCATCATCTTCTCTAAGCCAGGGCGGTGTAGCACCTGCAAAAACCCATCAAAAAGTAACTTCATCTTTATTGCATCACAGAAAAAAAAACTAAACCGCCCAAATACTTTTTTCGTATGTTATGCGCATCTCCATCCTCCCTGCCCCTCTTCCCGAGCTTTGCATTCACCAGTGCCCTGTTCACTCTACTTTCCCGCGCTTTACAGGCCCTTTGTACCTTTCGCCGAAACGCGTCTCGGTTTCTGTTTAAGGCAACACATAAGTTGCGGTTACATTAAGCCTTTCTCTGGCGAGGTAAGAATGTAACTGCGTGTGTAACCTCGCGTTCCCAAGATAAATTTAGCGTGTATTATACGGTGGAAACTTGAACAATAGTTTAAAGGAAGTGACCATAAAAACCAATGAGCTGAGTGGCTACGAAATTTTGTGGTAAAAGGAAAAACTACACGTGGCGACTACGCGGGAAACAAACTTGAGTGCAATCGCTTTTAGTCTTCTTAATCTCAGTTCATAAAAGAACACAATAAATATGCTGAAAATGTATTAATGCGACTATTGTTTGCACAGTTTTAATCGTTTGAGAATATCAGTCTTGTTAAGGACGAACCTGTGTGGACATTTCCTTCGCCTTTTTTTAGCTCCTGAAAAAAACATATTTTAATAAGATTCATTAATTTTCTTTACAAAAACCAAAAAACTATGACTAGGTTAACCAACCCAAGAAAACAGCATAATTATCAAAGAATACCAACCGGAATACCAATGCAAGTTAGATTTTCACCATAAGCTTCAGCAGTTTGAAATTTTGGCGCGCTAGCGCTATCTGCGGCAACAGAGCCTGTAAAAAGCAGATAAAATTGAAGATGATACCATTGGAACTGAAATAAATAGATCCTAAA